CCCCCTCTACCCAGGCCTGGCAATCACTAATCTGCTTTTTGTCTTTATAGATTTACCTATTAATATTTTATATAAATTAAATCATACAATATGTGACTATCTGTGTCTGGCTTTGCGCATAGCTCTTTAGCCGATGGCCCGACTCTCAGGACAGAGCTGTTCTAGCGATGAGATAAGAGCAGCTTAGTTTTGCTGGTGGCCTCCAAAGAATCCCATTCACCTGAGTAAATTCTCCTATGTGAGAGTCCCACTGTCAGGGTTGGATGTCACTTCTGGGTGGTGGGAGGGGTACTAGGTTAAAAGTTTTTCTATAGCAAGAGAAGGAGGGAAGGGGATTGAGGAAGTGTGCAACTCACTCACTTTGCCTCTTGTATTTTTCTTTACCCTAAAGAATAGCTCCCTCCCACCATGGGCACCCTTCCTCTTGTAGGAGGGCTCTTTTTCTTCTTTGCAGGCCCTCATGATGGTATAGATTTTATCTATGTGTATGTGTGCATGCGTGTAAAAACCAGTGTTCCTTCTGGGGATGGTTTGATTGATGTATACACTGGAAACACCTTTAATAATTTAATGCCTACTTCAAAGGAGATAACACCAAAAAGCACATTGCTTTTCATTTATTCATTACAGATCTGTCATAGAAGCATTTTTTTTTTTTGCCCTGAATTGTAGTGTCATAGTAATAATAAATTTTGTTTTACACTCAGGATATTTTAAAGAATTATAAGCCTTTTAACTAATGTTACTGTCTTATTTAAATTGATCAAAATGGTATTTCAGCACCATAATCTTGCATTTCTTAAAGTTGAGCTAACCAGATGTGGATTCATTTGATGACTACTGAAATAGCTATGCTGGGGAAGTTTAATACAAATAATAGGATGAAAGCATAATCCTGCTTGTTAGTGGTGGTGGTTATAATAGTGAAGGGAACAGAGCTGGAATTTGGGGCTCGGCGTCTCCTTCTCCTTAAAAAGAGATTAGGGTGTTTACCAGCCCTTTGAATTAAATGGAGAAAAAGGGTATGTGTGTTTGGGAATTGGGAGTGAAGAAAAGGGTAAGATGGAAAATACAAAATTAAAAATCAACACACAATTGTTTTGCAACTTACAGGCATAGATTCAGATGTCAAGAAAGGAAAACAGACTTTCCCCCAATTAGGCAGAAGGTAGTCACCTGAACAGACTTTAGCAAGCCCATGTAATATATTCCCAGAGAGTCTTGGAACATATCCAGATTCCTAATGGTTACAGTACATTTTGAGGATCTTTTTCTGTTATTATTACTGAATTTTTTATTGAGAACATAATATATAACTTCTCTTTAAATCAAAACCCAAATTTGCTCTGGTAGGGAACTTTAGGCACAGTAAGGATGATAACAATTTTAGGAGAGTGATTTATAATTATCCAATTCTCAGAGATAACTTAAAATGAAATCTCTGATTGGCCATTAGTGCAGTAGTGTTTCTGGATTTTTTAAATGTACTGCTTCAGGTACTCTGCCAACAAACTTTACAGTGTTTTCTCCCTAGATCATGCCATGAGTCTTTAACAGAAGTCCAGAGATGTTTTGTTCTCAGGTTGGAAATTCTTTAAACAGGAAAAGTAATGTTGCCTACTGCAGATGTCATATTTCTGACCATTGCAAGTACAGTCAGACCTTGTTTCTCAAATGTCTCCCATTTCTAACAATTCGGTTCCCAACCAAGTTGTTCACAGAAAAAATGTCTTGGTTGTCCAACCAAAGGTCAGTTCTCTAACTGACAACCCTTTCATGCTGATACCTCAGCATGACAAAAAGCATCTCTCAGGCAACAAACAAAGGAGAGAACACTTTTGTTCCCTGGGTCAAGGATTAGCACAATCTGAAAGCATAAAGAGGCCATCAAAAGTGCTAATGTTGCTAAGGGTGTGAAAGAAGCAAGGATCACAGGCAATTGAAGAGGTAGAAAATCTGTGTTGATTTGGATAAAGGAAAGCAGTTAGCCAGTGACAGCCTCTGGGAGGCAGTGATATGTGAACAAGCAAAGATGCTGCATGCTGACCTGAAGGACACCCTGGAACAAGTGCTGAAAGTGATTCGTTTAAGGCTAGTAGGGGACTGGTTCCATAAATTTAAAAAAATGAGCATTTATTTATAGATTAAACGGTACATTAGACATGTACTATATATAAGAAAGGTTAAAACAGAATCATTTGGGGATCTGGAACAGATTAATTCAATTTACATTATTTCTAGTGGGAAAAAATGATTCGGTTTTCAAACAAATCCTTCTTGAACAGCCTTCTGGAATGAATTAAGTTTGAGAGCTGAGGTTCCACTGTACACTTGAGTGTGCTTGCAGTGGCGACAAGGTAAAGTAGCATTATCGGTGTGGTTTGTTTAAGGGAGAATAAATACCAGAACTTTGGGGCAAGAACACCTTGGGGTCAAATTCTAGTCCCACTTGCTTACCCGGGTGTGATGTTAGAAGTGGTGTGTGATTCCTTATAATAAAATGGGTATAAGAAGTGTGCTTAGTAGGGTTACTGTGAAGGTTATATAGAATGATGAATGCATAAGCACTGAACATGTCCTTTGGCACAGACAGGTGATGGGTGTGCCTCTTGTCTGTTATCTTTACCCACAAACACCACTGACACCAGGTTTTGGAAGTCTCAGTGACCAGCCATGTGACACCTGGCAGCAGCTGCCACACCCCACCTTGGATATCCCTTTCCTGCCATGCACTCTTATTGCTTCTCTCCTCATGCCCTCTCATAGCAAGATTGTTTCTGCACTGCTCTGAGCTCTTTGCTGTCACAGACTCTGCGCTTGTCTCTGAATGCCCAGCATCTGCAGTACTGCTTAGTGAACACCAATGCTCTAGGCCCACTTGCTCGAGTCATTTTGATGAGAGCCCCCCAAATGCCTGCCAAGGTCCCATGGTATCTCCCTAAATCCCCCAGAGCCATCAGGAAAGGAATGTGCTGCCCCCGGGCCTTGTCCTGGCCTCCTCTGACAGGTGAGTGGAGAGCCACCAGAGTGTTTCTCTGACTTGGTCCTCATTCCAGCTCTTCCCAGTCGGAAGGCCCCTCTCCGACTTAGTGTCTTACTGGGGAAGGCCCCGACTTCCTGCACTTCAGGTGTGTCCGCCTCAAAGCTTTGCCACGTTTGTTCTAGAGAGAGGGCGGGACATGGGTGTGGAGATGGGAATGTACTGTTTTCTCTTTTGGAACTTGGGGTTTTTCCTCACCTTTATTTATTTTGGTCTTAATACATAAAACCCAGAATCCTTAGCAAAGCCCTATGGTTACATTTCATGAACCTCTTGCTTTTCCAAGCCACCTGGCCGATCTACTCCCTTCCATCCCAGTTTCTGCTTTCGGCCCTGCCCTGAGCAGCATGCTTAGGCCTGGCTAGGGCCCCACCGATGCTGGTTCACATTCGGCATCTGAATGAAAATTTGAAAGACACAGCCTCAGTGTACTATTAGTTACTCTGCATGATGAGAAATACTGTTTTCTGGACTACCTTAAAATCAACTATTTTCCCCCTTCATTTAAAAAGTGCATCTTTGATATCATGTAATCAAATTTGAGACTTTATTTTTTATAGAATATAGGAATTCATGGTTCAACTCTTTCTTCTTCAAAATAATGTAGTATGGAATTTTTCCTGAACGTTAATCTACTTGTCCTCATTTACTGCTGTCTTTACTTCAGAAACTGAAAGCTTGTGTTCACTCATTGTGTAAATTGTCCCATAACAAGTCTTTGGGCACTGAGAGGAGAACGGACTTCCAGAGCTGGAAGGGAGGTCAGGGTTCATTGTGCCTCAAACCTGCAATTTACAGATGGCAGAGGATTTAGTGCCCTGTACAACCCTACACAGCTAAAAAGAGGCAGGTCTGAGGTCCTAACATTCTATTTTTTTCTACTTATCCTTCAAAAAAAAAAAAAAAAAAAAAAACCACACATTTTAATGGAGGCAGTGCAGAAATATGATAGCTTCAGGAAAGAATGTATTATAACAAATGGGAAGGAATTTGGGATTTAATTTTTTTTTTTTAGGATTTGTGATGTGCCAGGCACTGTATATAACTTATTTCATTTGATCCCCATGGAAGTGTTATTGTATTTCCATTTTATAAGTGGGAATCTGAAACTCACAGAAGTTAGGTAAAGCCAGTAAGAGCCTGGCCAGGACTTTATCCCAAGTCTTTCTCTCTCCAAAGTCTTGGCTCTAGAATTCAGCCTCCTGCTCTCTTTTAGAGCAGGTTTACATGTATCCAAATAACAGTAAAAATGCCTAACTAGACTTTATAAAATACTTGAGCGTTTATTACTTTTTACAGAAGGGACTAAAGCTTCTTGGTCTCATATCTACTTAACAGTCATTGTTGGTATTTGGAGGTATACTGTCAACTTTCTTGGGCATTGTGTAGAAAGGGCCCACATCTGGGGTTAGAAAACCTGGTAGATTCACATTCTGGTACCATAAACTTTGCCCTTTTTGTATTTAGAGATATGAACGCACACTAGGCACTAGTGGTGAGTATGATATGATCTCCACAAATAATTTCTCTTACCTCCTCCTCAGGGCCAGACACTCCACTGGACATTGGCCACAGACCCTGCAGTATAGTTTCCTCTCTGCCCTGGGCATTAAGAGCATTGGTTCTGGAATCACATGCTTAGATCTATTTCTGGCCCTTCCATTTATAAACAGTGGGATCTTGGGCTAGATATTGATCTCTCTTTACCTTAGTTTTCTCACCTGTGAAATAGGACTAAGACAAATCTCACAGGATTATCATGAGAATTAAATGAGAAGATACTTGTGAAGAGTGACATTCAGTAGGCAGCCAATAAAGGTTAACACATTATATAAATTAAAGCACTATGCAAATGTAAGGAAGTATTACTTGACTGTAACACAACTATTAATTATTATAATGTGTAGCAAATAACTGTTGAACTTCTTACTGTTACCCATTATTTCTTTTGATCCATCAGAGGCCAGCAGAAATTGTAGATGAGGAAGAAGACGGAGAGAAGGAAAGCAAGGAGGCAGAAGAGAAAGAAGAGTTTTCAGGAATGAATGGTGAAGTTGAAGAGGAAGGAGCTGGGGAGGCTACAGCTGCCTCTGAGCAAGCAGAGGAGATGCCGGGGCACAGGGAAGAGCAGGGAAGAACCACTCGTGTTAATGGAGGCACTGATGAAGAAAATGGTGAGGAAATGGATCCTGTCAGTAACGAGCTTCAGGAGGCAGTGGATGAGGAAACAAAGTCTCAAGGAGCTGGCAGTGAACAAGAGGAGGTATTTCTATTGCTTTTGCTCTCTTGTGTGCTTGCATGAATGTGTGTGTGTGTGTGTGTGTGTGTGTTGTGTGTGTGCGTACGCACTTAGGGAATTATTCATGCACTTAAGACTTGCATTGAAACCACTTGTTGAGTAGGGAAAGATCCAATACTATTTAGTTGACTATATTATTTCAATAAGTTAAGAAGGACTGTTGCCCACCCAGTGTGGCTCAGTTGGTTGAGCATCATCCCGTGCACCGAGAGATCAGCAGTTTGATTCCAGGTCAGGGCACATGGCCGGGTTGTGGCTTGATCCCCAGCAGGGGGTGTGCAGGAGACAACTCATCAATGTTTCTCTCACTGATATTTCTATCTCTCTCTCCCTCTCCCTTCCCCTCTTTCAAATAAATAAATAAATAAATAACAAATAAATAAGTAAAAACATATTAAAAAAGGACTGTCAACCACTTATCTGACAGTTTATATGTCCATCCGTCCTTGTCATCCATCCATTTCCTCCCTTATTCTACAAAAAATTTATAGAGATACTTACCTAGCAAGGGAGATACCATGATCACGAAGGTGGTTTTCCCAGGGCGAGGCTTATCCATTGCACTCCGGATGTGTTGTCCCTTGCGATGTCCCCAAATGTGGGAAAATTGACTCCACAATTTGAGGTAGTGGGGGACTGCATTCACGCTGTCCCTGTAATAAAAATTTTTTTTACAGAGGCTCCTAGGAACATATAAAACAAAAGAAATACATATAAGTAAGAACTACAAGTGAGTTAAGACCAGGGAAGATACAAATCAGCAAATAATATCAAGATCAGTGAGGCATAGATATGATTTAAAGCAGCGGTCACCAACCGGTGGTGCATGGACCATTGGTGGTCTGTGAGGTCTGAAAGGTTGGCGACTGCCGGTTTAAGGAAACCAAGAACATCATCTCTGTTATACCTACCTTACTTCTTTGCTCTATAGGAATATTAAACTTTAATTTGTTTAGCCCACTTTAATGGATTGATTGAATTAAGTGCACAATAAGCCAGGCACTTAATAATAATATATATTTCTATTCATTATACAGCGAAGGTGAAAGAATATGTGTCGAAGCCTCCTTCCCAGCCTGTTTTCCCACCATAGCCCTGGAGCAGGATATTCTCAAGTCCTGGCATTCTTCCATAGGATCAGATGAAATTTGATAGGATAGACTAAGTTAGATGCTGATGAACAGGCTAAAGTCTCATAGTATGAGAGGCTATGTATTCCACAGCATTCTCGCCATCTGCTGGTCTGCTTGTGTCCTTCTTTCCTGTCTGCCCATCAGCTCAGGGCCCACCTCCCTCAAGGCTGTAGCCTCTAGCATAGGCCTTGGTCTGCTCATCCCTGACAACCCAGTATGATGAATGGGGTCATCTTAATTACTTATTAGTGATTTATCTGTTTGATCTTTCTTAGAGAGACCAAGCTTAGTCATGGTAAAATGCAAAATGTTTTTGTGGCCAGGTTTCAGGAACCAGTACAAAGTTGCCTGTAATCTACTGTATGGCTTATGCAAAAACATTCTTAAAAAAAAATTATATATATATATATATATATATATATATATATATATATATATATATATATATATTGATTTCAGAATGAAAGGGAGAGGGAAAGAGATAGAAACATCAATGATGAGAAAAAATCATTGATCAGTTGCCTCCTGCATGTCCCCGGAACTCCCAAATCATGTAATTGACTGAATTATTTTTTTAAATTTGGCTACAAACAACCTCAGAATAGAAATTTTAGCTAAATTTCTATTGGGCATGTGCCTTGACCAGGAAACGAACCGTGACCTCCTGGGTCATAGGTCAATGCTTAATCACTGAGCCACACCTGCCAGGCTGCAAATACATTCTTAGCAACCAAATGAAAACAATGTGTCTCTCATCTTGACTCAGCATGAGGTACTCATGGCCCTATTCTATAAGAAATTTCCCATATGTAGTTCTACATGGTTATTAAAATTTAGCTAAAATTTCTATTCTGAGGTTGTTTGTAGCTAAATTTAAAAAAATAATTCAGTCAATTACATGATTCCCTTTATCTCCATAAGGAAACAAAACTAATTTCTCTAGGAAGGCAAAAGAAAAAAAATGTTTCTCAAAGGAAGCAAAATCTCTTGTCTGGGGACTCATATAGGAAACACAATAATGCAAACTGTCATGAAGTTCTTTGTTATTATAGTAGCCTTTGATGAATGCTTATAGCATAAAATCAAAGTATAAATTCTATGTGGGACAAAGATAGTAAAATCCAAGTATGCATTTTTCCAGTAGCCTAGCTTCATTTAATGTTATTACCCAAATAGGTTTTTATAAAAGTGAAACCTATAAAACCATCCCATAAAATTAATTTTTAAAAATAGGCCTTTCATAGGAATTGAGTATCAGTCAAAATCAAGGTTATATAATTTGAAGAACAAGTATTAGAAGTATATTTCGAGGGTATGTATTGGGAATCAAATGAACAAGTGCCTGATATGTGACTAGTTAGGGATTTTAAGGACTATACACATGCCTAAGACAGAGCAGTTACACTCAAGAAATTTGATCTTTTTTGACTCATCTCTCTTAAAATGATATTTTGTTTTTATACTATTTGTATTAGTATAGGTACTCTAAGCAAACCAATTACATGAAAAGCCAGATTTATATGAATTATAAAATATACATTAATAATTAGAATTTTCAAAAGAATTCTTTATTTATAAAATGACTAAAAATTTAGTTCACCATGTAACATTTTGTTCCACATAACAGTTCTTAAGCAAAGTGTGGTAAGATTGTAGGAAACAGCAGGAAATATATAACAAATACACAATAACTAACTGAGATTTTTTGTTCTTGCACTGTGTTCAAGATGCTATTTGAGACACTTCATGAGAGTTATTTGAGAATGTGAAATAAGAGATAGTTCTGGTAACATTTTTTTTTCCTTTTTTAGAACATAAATCATGGCCGGTAGGGGTGGGGAACTTGGAGCTGGTCCTGTTCTCCCCACACAGGTGGCCACTGGGGACTGTGGAGCCTCCAGGATTCCATGGAACAGAGATTGAGAACCTCCTAATTCTAATCTCACCCCCTTGGTTTTCAGACTAGTGGGGAAAGACAGACTAAATAAGACAATATCATTAATGACATAGGAGAAGTCCAAGTGGCAAAGACAAAGGCTGCTGTGGGAGCAATGCTGCCTCTGTGTTTTCGTATCCTGTCCTGCTTTTATCTGCTTGATATTTTATGCTACTTGGTACCATATTCACAAAGAATTTGTAAGCTCTTGTAGAAAACTAACAGAAGAACAGCTAGTATGGGAATGGATTAATGAGACATGAGGGTAGAATTGCTACATGCTTCTCTTCCCTTTTCTCTGAAAATGTGAAAATGAAAAGTATAAATATGCTGTTGAAAAACTCAAAGGGAAATAAAAGAAAACATCAAGAAAAATAAAGCCTGTAGCACAGGAAATGAGTATATGCCCTCCTTAAGGCACAGAGTGGGTTATGGTTTCAGAAAGGGCTTCTGTACAAGTGGTGTTGAGACTGGTGTGTTCACTGGGTGATGATAGACTAAAACACAAAGGAACCCGAGGAACTGGTCTTAGTTGAATATTTATATAGCTAAATGGAATATTGAGTAATTTTTTCCTTGTAAGTTTTATTATCTTTGTAACTAAAGAGCTAAATATCTTGTTTTGATCTGTTTTCCTCCAGGCTGACTTAGACCCTCAAAGACCACCAAGGCCAGAAGTAAAAATCACTGGTCCACAAGAAAATGAGGACAATGAACAAAACAAAGACTATGCTGTCGTAGCATAGATGATTTTTAAAAAGAGAGTGTATTGATTATAAGAAAAATGAAGGGCTATAATACTTGAATAATAAGGATATAGTCCTTGTAAAACATGATGTGACAATACAGTTGAAAACTACCTACTGAATTTTTAAAATTAGAGATTTATTGGAAAGACCAGATAACTTTGAATAGCTACTAAAGGAGAGTGACTTCTCATTATGGGATGTGTTTTTAGAAGTCATTTAGAAAATTAAGAGATCTAGATGGAGGAGAATTTGACCTGGAAGACAGTTGGGTACTTGTTTTTGTAAAGGATGAAAAAGAATGGAATTACTCCTATTGTATACTTTTAAAAAAATTTAGAAGTGAGATTATTAGATGGCAGCCTATGAGAAAGCACTTATCTAAAAAGGCATAGAATTTTAAATGATAATAAGAAAGCAGCTTAACAATAACCCACAACCGTCGGAGGAAAGCATGTACTATTTTTAAAGCAATAAACTATTGAATAAACAATTTATAATTTAGTTTCAGAGATAATTTGGAAATGGCAGTAGATTAAAGTGTTTCCATGACTGTTGTATTCCATTCTTTCTTCCTCCTTAGCCAAAATCCACCTTAAAAGAATTAAAAAGAAGGCAAGATACTCATTTTGGAAGGGGGAAATATTCATTCAGTGTATTAGTGATTAATATTGTTCCTCCCTTAAGAGCTTCAGGTTTTAATCCTTGTGGCTTTCATAACACATAACTCAGGAAGGAATTATAAAAGAACATCCAGTTATAGAACTGAGCCTAGATTGATGGTTTGCAAATTCTGGCATTCTATGGATTTTCAGTGACCCAATCTACCTTTACCAATAATATACCTCTATTCTTCCTTATGTTAGGGAACTCAATATTGGCTATTCCAAAGATTGGATTTGCTCCCATTTATTACAAAAGGAAAATGTAGGCTTATGAAGAATCTGTCACTGCTCAATTTCACTTGCTTTTTGCCTTATTTCTATTAGGACTGCCTTGTCATATTTTGTCCCTAAGGGTATCAGCAAATATTTATTTTCAAGCCAGTTATATTTAGACTTTCTAGCAGATTCCTTTCTGTATAATTAGAAGTAATCTGATAGAAATTGTTGAAAAAAAGTTTTAAAATTATCATAATGAAACCAGTTCCAATTACTAGTTTGTGGACTGATTATATTTACTTACAATTGCCTTGTTAGGTATATATGGAGAAAAGCATAGTTGTATTAGTTTGTTTTTTAATTCTCAAGAGATAAGGCAGTTTTTCCTTAAATATAGAATTAATATATTTTTGTAATATTAAAGAATATTTTTATGTAGAAATTATAAATTTGAAATTTAAATTGCTAGAGCTTTCATATAATTCATTATCAATCATAAATTTAAAATATTTTCCCTGCGAGATTATATAATAAACCATTTGGAGTCAGAGTAGTTATATAAAGTACTGAATAATGCTATAGAAAATGGATGTATTTTTTTCTAGCAGCTATTTTAATACTTTCCACAAATAGGAAGTAGAAGGAGACACCATAATGTATGTAACAGTATTGGAAAGAGACAATGATATAAGAGTATATTAATCTGGGAAAATAAATTATAAATGGGGCACTATATTTCTAGTTTAAAATCTAGACTGTGCTGTCTAGTAATAGGCGTATTTTTCAGATGGGACAATACAGCACCATAGGCTACACGCAATAATCTTGTGCTGCTAGGGAAATGGACTACGTGTTTTTTTAATGTTAAATTCCCAAACTAATACTGGGCCTGGGGTTAATTATTTTAAGTCATTTATGAAAATAATAGATTAAATATAATAAATTATAACTATTTGTCAAGGTTATTCCTTCTCTTTTCTTTAATGAGTTTTTTCTTTCTCTTTTCTTTTTTTAATATCAATATTCTGTGTCTCTTTTTTTTCCTTTCCATCATACTATAAAGCTTAGATTTGCAGGAACCTTTTAGAATCATCTTAATGGAAAACAATGTTATTTTACATTAAAACCCAAGTTTGGCATTTTAAATATATTTCAAGAAGGTGATAGTCCACAATAACTGGAGAAAAAAAATTGAAAAGTGGGGATGTGGTACTTCTCTTGTATATGCGTATATACTAGAGGGGATGAACAATTAATCACTTTTAAAAAAAGATTGAAATATGCTGTCTAACCATGGAAGAAATCATTCACAGAGAATGAAAATTGTGGACACGATTTTGGAGATGACTTTAACATAAATAATGAAAGTTAATTCACCTTCCAAATGTTGAAATTTGTGTGTATGTGTGGGTATGGTGCTCTCGGTGACCTCAGAGTAGTTCCACAAATTGAGCCACTGACAGATTTGAGGCCATTATGCGAATGAGCAATAGAGATGTTTATTTGGCTTTGGGTATTGTTTTATAGAGAGAGGGTGCTATGAATATTCATATAGCTTTTATGTGATAACCAATAAAAGGCTTTAAGATATTTGTTTTTAATGATAGATTTATTTTAATTTTATGGAACTCTTATTAATCTTAATTTGGTTTATGACATTCATAAACAAGTGGTTTGTTGGTTGAATTGGAACATTAGGAGTTCTTCAGATTAAATAAAGGAGATGTTAACTGAAATCATTTTCATAGTAAGGATGTTTCACCTGTCTTAGGGTCTTTTAAAATAACTATTGAGAATTCATGGCCTTCTAGTTATAAAACACAATACTATGACCATAAGGTAATTTTGTTACTCATTTTTTTCCTATGGCCATAGGGTCACTTTTTATTCATTAAAAACAAAGTTTGTAGCCGAAACCGGTTTGGTTCAGTGGATAGAGCGTCGGCCTGCAGACTGAGAGGTCCCAGGTTCGATTCCGGTCAAGGGCATGTACCTGGGTTGCGGGCATATCCCCAGTAGGAGATGTGCAGGAGGCAGCTGATCGATGATTCTCTCTCATCGATGTTTCTGACTCTCTATCTCTCTCCCTTCCTCCCTGTAAAAAATCAATAAAATATATATTTAAAAAAACAAGCAAACAAAGTTTGTAATTTTAAACATTTAGTTAAATTTATTAAAACATTTTTGGTTATGTTTTTGGGGAATATTTGAATGCCACACTCATATGATACTCCGTGCATTCTGTCTAATTCTGTGTGTGAGTTCCTGCTCTCGTCTATAAAAGACAGAACTAGCCCATACATGTGTGTGTGGCTGGCAGTCAGCTCTCTCTGTAGGCTCACAGTTGTGAAGCCATACTAATAAAATTATTCCTACTGATTCTTCCAACTTATAGCTCATAGGCCAGTATCCTAGAAAATTTCACTAAATGACCTATGCTCTTCACAAACGATGAAGTTAATTCAACCAGGAAACATTTGTGTTTTTAAATTGTGGCTGCAGAACAACAGGAGGGCATTTCATCTTATTTACTGACTCTTCTACAGAATTAGCTCTATATGTTCATTATTTTATTTTTTTTTTTTTTGCTCAGTATATAGCAAAAACAAAATTTCAGAAAGTTGAATAGATTAGTTGCTAAACAGAAAGCATGACATCTGAACTTGTGCCAATCTGAATAGAAATAGACTGTATAGATATACACATATAAATAACACATACTTGTACAGACGCACTCACACACTTTAAAATATTGCAAAGCCCTCTTCAGGCACAGCGTTGTTAATAGAGGAAGTCTCTTTTGAGAGAAGCAATGCATACAAACACATGGGGAAGAAATGCTAAGAAATGACGTATATCATGGTGCTTTAAGACTTGGTTCCCAAAGACTTTCAGAGATATGAAGATCTTCTCAAAATAAGAAAGTTATCAGCGTTTTAATGAAAAATTTATTCCAAGGGAGGGCTAAGTAGATGTATAGTCCCATTTTCCTGAAATAACTGCAGCATATAGTTCTTTAGTTATTTTGTCATCACTCTTATGTACCATACACGTTAGGCACAGAATGTTTCATACCAACACAGGTTCTGTCTGAAGGTAATTACTGTTTGTGTGTGATTTACATAAATGTATAGAGGACTCTTTGCCAACAAGCAGCCAGTTCATTACAAATAGAACACAACTAGACCACTGGCTGTCTAGTGTTGAAGTTCAGAGCAGAAGCTTTGTAGCTTCCTTGTGTACATGTGGTGTCCTTGAATAGACCCATTTTTTTAAAAAAACGGTTAGTCTATTTATTTAGTTTTTGTTATTAATATCATATTTTTTTTGGTAAATACAATAAGATTTTTGCTTTGCAGAAAATATCCTGATATATGGATGGGTCTGATTTTTGTTCTTACCACATGAAATTAGTATATTTCCTACCATGAAGTCTAAGTGACTTGGATGGAGAATGAAAGTGTGTCCCCACAAGTTGATAAGGAAGAAAAATACTGTTTATGAAGAAGTATACCATCCTGTACAATGTGAGGAATCAGGACAGACTTTTAAAATGTCTGGATAACCATAAAGCATCTATCAAATCAGGAGGTAATTAATGGAGCTAGTTTCATTGATTAAACTTAGCTTAAATCCATGACTAGTACCAAATGAATTATCTGTAGTTTCATCAGCTTAAACCACATAGTATAATTGAGTGTTTGAGTTGTGTCACAAATGTAATGGCATATGAGAAAAGGGAATGCCTACAGTCAATTTTAGAAGAAGTTTGGAGAAAATCTAGTCTGTGTTTTTGCTTCAATGTTTTTCTTGTGCTTTAAATCTTTAATATGTACAATGATAATGGGTGATTATCAATGTAAGTAAAGATTAAGTTGAGCTCATGGTTTTATATGATTTATCTTTAGAATTTCTCTTTGTAAAGAAACCTGTTGGTTTTGATCAAGTTATGAGCATTTAGGTTTTTACTTCTATGTCAGTGCTCACTCTAAACCATTAAAGTTCATTGTATAAGTAAATATATCTGTGTTTTTAAAATTTAATGTTTCTGGATGGTATATTGTTTATGATGTGTTGCTAATAGTTAATGTATTAATTCTTTGTATGACATTTTTCACAAATGCTATAGAAACTTTTGATTTAAACCATGTAGAAATTTAGCACATTAAAAGATTATTCTGTTTCTATTTGGCATGGATATTAAACTTCATTATATAAAGAAAGCAATTTGTATATCTTCATATACATGTTTAGTTGGTAAACATTTTAGATATATATTTAAAAATCATTGGTTTTTCTTTTATGAAATGGCATTAGAGTGACACAGGTCCAGAAATTCTGTTATAATAAATATATCTTTAAAAACAAAGAATAACTTATACACATTACACATTATATATAGATAGCTATAGGAATAAATTTACAATTTATGAAGATATTGGCTAAAATTTTGCTTCAGTTTGTGGAATATTCATTGCTTTCATTCCATTGAATTAAACTATTTTTGATTTTCCCCCCTTCATGTTTGAGAAACAAAAGCCATTAAATACAAGTTTTTTGATATGTAATAACAAAATAATTGTGATTTAGGATACTAACTAAAGAGAAGACACTACTGCACCTCTCGTGCAGTTGACCTTCCTGTGTTTGTTAAATAAGACTGAAAAAGCAAACCTCCACAGTGAAGGAGGCATCTATATTGCCAAAGTCAAATCTCTTTAGACTGTGTGGCTAATCAACATTAGAAACTTCCCATAATCAACAATGACTGTATTGGAATTTCTCCAAGGTATAGTAAAATAGCTAGCATGCATTGGTTATAAAATTCTTGCTTATGAAAATAAACGTATAGTTTTGCAGGTTTCCAAGTGTTTCTTTTCCCCCTAATGGGACTTTAATCTGTTGACTCATTGCACAGGTCTCTCAAATGCCAACACAAACTCATCTTCCATTAAAGAGACAAATGAGGCAGGAATGCCCTGCACTTCAAATGCATTTGTTTAGTAATAACAAAGTTGGCTTAAAAAACAAACAAACCCCCCCCCCCCCACACACACACACACACAAAAGACCAATAAGGCATCTCCCCTTGACTTGATTGTATTTGTTCTTTTTGGCTATAGCCCTCTCCCATCTCCATGAGCAATCTCAAACACAGTTGTAATCTTAACAACTACCTACATGCTCATGACTCTGAAATCTGGGCCAAACTTCTCTTCCCTGACCACTCCAGACCTGGGTATGGTATATAAATCTCAGTTGGATATTCCTTAGTTACCTCAAACTCAAATGTTTTATTTTTTGATAATATGTTTCTATTCTTACATTAGAATAGAAACATATTAGAATAGAAACATGTCCTGGTTAATGGTGCATCTTACTGCTCAGCTAGAAACCTGGGAGTCATCTTAAAGTATTGCCATTCTCTCTATGTCAAATTAGTCATTAAGTTTTATGTTGTTTATTTATGTAGCACTTAGAAATGTTATTTCATTGTTTATTAATAGGCCTTTCCCTCATCTTGTCTTTTTGCCTGAGGGTTTTCCATTTATTCACATGCTTACCTCATTTTTCTACTCGGTTTTGGGCTTTTTGTTATTGCTTTGAGGAGCTTTTTCTATATCCTTCATAACCGTAGCTGGTCATGTGCTTTACCAACATCTCTATCAGCTTATGGGTTTACCTTGTTTGCTTTTATAAAAATGATATTACCTAGAGAAATGTTTTCATATTGATGTAGTCAAATATATTAATCTTTTTATAATTTGGGGGGGGTTTGGAGTTTACTTAAAAAATTTGTCTATATGTGTAATCTAATGGACAAAATAAACTGATGAACAAAAAAAAAAAAAAAAAAAATTTGTCTGAATCTCAATGTCAATTATATTCTGTAGTACTTTCTAATTTTTTTTTTAAAGTTTTGCTTTTCACATTTAGGACTTTATCTGTCCAGGCTGGCATTTTTGTGTGCACTAGAGTTAGGGGCCTAATTTTCTTATACTTTTTCATATGGATAACAAAATATCTTAGCACTATTTATTGAACATGCTGTTTTTCCCCCCATTGATTTGTAGTCAGAAATAAATTTTCATTTGTATTTGGGGAAGTTCTTGACTCAAGATTGGAGGAGAGTCCTATTATGGACTGAGTTGTGTTCCCCCAAATTTTTATGTTGAATTACCCAATCCCCCATGTAACTATATTTGGGGACAGGGCCTTTGTGGAGGCAATTACGGGTAAATGAGGTCATAAGGGTGGAGCCCTAATTCTACAGGACTCATGTCTTCATAAGAAGAGGAAGAGACACCCAAGCTCTTGGAGGAAAGGCCATGTGAGGACACAGCCAAAAGACATCCATCCATAAGCCAGGAAGAGAGACATCACCAGCCACCGAATCTGCCAGCACCTGATTATGGACTCCTACCTCCAGAATTATGAGAAAAATAAATATCTGTTGTTTAAACCACTCAGTTTGTGATATTGTGTTATGGTAGCCAGAGCAGATTAAACCAAATCTTCTTGCTGAGCCCTAAATTATATAATAGGGATTTATTTATTTATTATTTTTTGGTCAGTGAATATAAAAGAGAAAATAGTAGTTTAGAATTGCTCCCCCCCGCCCCCCTCCCGCCAAAACTTCTCTTTGTTTTACTCTCAAGATAACATTAAGTTTTTATCCACATTGGTTTCTTGGTCTTCTGCTAATGAGCTGCTTCCCTTTGAAGGGGATTAGATTGGAGGCTGTATTAGTGGAGAAGTGGATCCAAAGAGGGCTGCTTAGGGTCCAGCTCTTCAAATGTAATCTGGACACTGCTTCTTCCCCTATGTGGTGACTATTCTTTTATATCCAGGACTAGAGGCCCAATGCATGAAATTCATACAAGGGGCTCGGCCCTCACAGCTGCAGCGGCTTGCCTCTGCCCTTAGAGCCCCGGCTT